TAGATTGGATTAAATAAAGTATATTCCAACAATTAATTTCACCAGTTTCACTTTAGATCAAAAAGTGTCGGGCTGGAGAGATAGCTCGGCGGCCTAAGTGCCTGTCGGATAAGCACAAGGACTAGGTTTGATTCCCAGTACTGCATGTTGTGCTGGCCACTGAAACCAGGTGTAATGACACAGGCCTGCAATCCCAGTGCTGGATAGGAGGATCACTATGGGTCTGAATTGTGTGGCAAGGGGCTGGGCAGATGGCTCAGGAGAGTAAGTGCTTCCCTGGCAAGTGCAGGGATCTGAGTTCAATCCCTGTTTCTGGAAAAAACAAACAAACAAATAAAAAACGAACTGTGTGGCAAGACCCTGTACCAACTAAATAAAAGATTAAAAAGATTTTTTAAAAAGTCCAGGGCTAGGGAGATAGTTCAGCAGAATAAGCACCTGCCTGGCAAGTGCAGGATCCTAAATTCAATCTCCAGTACCGCTAACTAAATAAAAATATTGAGGCCAGGCATGGTGACAAATGATCCTATGCTTTGAGGGACCGGGGAGACAGTGCAATAAGCGCTTCCCTGGCAAGTGCAAGGGCCTGAGTTCAATCCCCAGTTCCGCCAAAGAAGAAAGACATGTGATCCTACGCTTTGAGATGCTGAAGCAGAGGATCACCTCAACCTTACAAAGAGTTCAAGGTCAGCTTGAGCTACATATCAAGAAGCTGCCTACAAACAAACCTTGTCCAAAAATGTGGGGCAGCCTGCAGTGTGCACTATTTGTGCTGGCCCTGGGAGCTGGCACTGCAGTCAGGGCTGGGGTCCCCTGTAGAGGCCAGGGCAGTGGGGAGGCTTCCCAGGGGACAGAGGCCCCAGGAGGACCAAGGACATGAAGGCTGGACGGCTGGATATTGAGCAGGGACCTGAGGGTGAAAGGAATACGAGGTGGGGGAGGGGACGAGGGGACTGGAGACCTGAGCAGGGCTGGGGGGAATTTCCTCTTCCCCAAGAGAGGGACTTGGGCTTCGTTCCTGGGCGTGCACAAGGCCGAGTCCTC